CTCTTTACTTAGGGTCGCACGTCGGCAATATACTAGCCGACGTCGGGATGATAATTAATTAAAAATATAATACAAAATTAAGACGGCAGAGTATGCCGAGAAAGCCCTCGGGTTGTGAGGTATGATAACCAGTACACGTGCGGAGATAGGCACGGTTACACGTGGTGGATGGTACACGGGTACAAGTGGAGAGGATCCGCCCTGGTCCGGGATGTGGCTACGTGAACATGTGTCGTGAGTTTAAAGACGCGGCGTATCTATTTTGTATTTACAAAGAGTTTTGCGGTGTTTTCTGTTTCAACTCCTACCTCTGTTACTGACTGTCATGAATCCTGCAAACCCCTGAACTGAGTTGGCTTGAATTTGGTAATGCAATCTGAAAGAATTTCTTCATATTTTTCAGGATCTTCATGTAGATCCAAGCATGAGGAATTTATAAGCAGCGAACGCCCCTCAAGCGGCTTCGCATCAAAAGGATTTAGACCAGAAAATTACTACAGCTCTGAAAATGTATTTGACATACCTTTGCTCCCTTCACATTTGCGAGGTCGAAGATATCCTTGACAATCAATGCATCGGATGCAGACTAGAACTGATGGCTCTCGTCAATCTGAACAGATATCTTCACTGAATCCAGTGCTTCGTTCAAACACGTCGACCACCTTCACGAAAGATGAACAAAAATCTCTCACGCTCCCACTGATGCCACCAAATCTACCACAGACAACCGATAGCTCTGGTTTTACCTCAGGAACGCTGTCCAGTGTTACGTCACAGCTTTCAGATTCTACCCAGAAGCCGGGAGACTTTCTATTCGATACACATGGGATTGTGGTGTGGAGAGACTTAGCGAAAGGGATAGAGGTTCGAGAGCTGTCAGAGTTACTGCAAATCATAGAAGATGACGGGCTTTCTGAGCAAATAATCAGAGCCTTGGTGATCACAAGAAGGTTGAAAGTACGATTTTTATATGACGTTCTGATGAATTATTTGGGTTGTCGGTCCAAGGTATCTAAGCAGTTCTCGTTAATGTGTCCAAATGGAGCGTATGGCTGCGAGAGGTGTATCCGCGGAGGGAAACGATTGCTCATAACAGAACTGTGAGCTAAAAATTGTGGTATCTCACGAGTTTGGTATAGATACGTGTCAGACAAAGTTGCTGCACCCTGCCGTGAGGGAGACGTACTCGAACAACTGACAGATGGCTACAGGAGAGCAAAACGGGCTGTAACGGACAGATATCTTGGCACTTTATACGATTTCTATGACGGAGCTCTTTTTCGAAGAAGGTACGGGAAGTTTTTGCGGATCTGGGAAGAAGAGCGGAAGCTGAATGCATTCTTGATATTCTCGTCAGACGATTTTGAAGAGATTGCAGGACATCGAGATCGTCGGACGGCCTGGCCTCTTGTCTTTACTATTTTCCATCTGTATCCAAAATATCGTTTCAAAGCAAGGAATGCCCTTCTTATGGGTTTCGTTCCCGGCACGCAGGATCCTGAGCTCTTTGACACGTTCCTGGAACCAATTTTGTATGATCTTCCCATGCTGGAGGGAGGCTGTTTCCAAAAATGCGCCGATGGAAAGCGACGTCAACTTCGCCAGATTGTATTTTCGTTACCGCAAACTAACCGGCAGTGAGTAAGATCTTGGGATTCGTAGGCCATACATCGTCTTTTCCTTGTCGACATTGCCAAGAAATGCAGACGCATGTACCGGAAGTAGGCTCACGAGCCTTTGTTCCAACAGGTGGCATAGCAGAAACGTCGAAAGCAATATCTTCTTCACGAAATATGGGTGGCCTTACGTGGCATAATTTAGAATGCCCCGGACCGAGACTAGACAAAGAGACAAGAGATATATAGGGTCTACTCGAGGCGAATGCCACAGCAACTGAGGATATCATACCTGAAGCAAAGTAGAAATTGTATCTTCGACTGGCATTTCGAGGCGGCCGATTCTCGGACGTTTGAAGTTCGATTTCGTGTACTCCTTGCCATACGATCTCATGTAGTTTTTCTCCGGTGTGCGAAACAGTTGCTTCGCTTTTTGTTCGGTTTCCATAACAAGACGACAAATTAATCGACCTACATAAGTTCGGAAACACGAGAAGGATATGAACTAAGCTCTTGCAGACTGTGCTCTGTGTATTCCGGTTGTTGAGGGTGCGCCTTCGAATATCTTGTGCACATAGCGACCTTCAAGACGGAGGACTTCAAGAAGTGCGGCATTTTTATGGACCAATTTAATTTTCTGGGCACGGAGTATCGCAAAGGATTTCCAGGCTCTGGGGTATCACTTCCAACATTAATAATTTCACCTGCGATCCCTCCCGAGCTCTCGGGGATGTAGAAGTAGTCCGCTAACTTTTGAAGGAAGTGCATGCACTTTTTGCAGCTTGTTTTCATCTGGATGCCAGCCATGTGTTTTGTTTTACGCCCAATTCTCTTTCCATACTACAACTAGGTGATATATTGTGCGAATGTGGACCACTTCCTAACGTGTGTCAGTTTACTTTTGAGAGGCTTGTTGGAGATTCCGAGAAATTGATAGGATGTATGGTACAGTACGTCCTGAAGCAAGTTTATTTCACCAAACTCATAAGCTATTCTTCTATAGTTTGCTCTCTGGAAGAATGACAAATCTGGAAGAACCCACGAAGTACATGGACTGGGAAGATACTGCAATTGATGGACAATATGATTAGGATGATGATATAAGTGGCAAGGAGAAGAAATTAATGAACGCAATTCTGGGATCTGGAGTCCCCATAAACAATTTTTCGAAACTACAGTAATTCAAGCTCGTCGCACGTCCAAGTAATATCCACTGTATGTCCACCGTATGCAATGGGCGTGACTTTAAGAGTATACCCAATGTGTACCTTACTATATAATTCTACTTGGTATTTCTAAGGTACACCCAAGGAAGACCCAAAGTTTTCACTGGCAACGCTTTTGCATATCGCGTAAAGTGGGCTTGTCAGTTTTGTACGCCGTACCTCCAAGATGACCGCAACAAAAGTGGTCAAATATAGTGGTTTCGCCGACAATGATTGTCAGAAAGTGATGCGAGGTCTTTCTGGTGTCTGGTAGAAAAGATCCCATTCTCCCGCTAAAATATGACATGATGACAGAGAAAAAGGGGATACGACCGAAGGTGATACTGAAAAGGCGAGCTGCTGTACCTGGGATACTTTCCGAGGATGGGAATTGTGAGGTGACTGTTGGAGCAAGTGACCGAGGCGCCGGGTATTTGGTAAAAATGACAGCTGGAGTTCCCGAAATGAGAGCTTGCATAGTGGAGCGTGTGCACCAGAGGGGATCCCCGCACCTTTCATGGCCTTGGATCGTAGCCATCGGGCTGGTGTGGCGCGGTTTCAGTGCCTTACCGGCTCCTACCGCTGTGCGCTAATGATGCCGAAGGGGTCAGGCAAGCTTGTGCAGCTGCGTTTCAAGGGCCACTTTGGGTTTCTGGCGACCCACAGGCCCGGAAGCACATTTATCCCTCTGCCTAAATGACCATGATGTTATACTGGTTTATGGGGTGACATCCGAGAATATATGTTTGTCCGAGGTGGTTCAATGATCTTATTCTCCGTCGCCCTAGAAACAGACCTTGTCACTCCATGCAAACGACAATATGGACCAATGTAACCACAGCAGCACACTTTCAAGTGATGTCACCGTACAGAAACACTACGTACGTTGATTCCGAACTACGAATATTACACTTTTGCGGTGTGTCGCCCCCTCATTTGCGCTTTTGGCCGTGTTTTACAGCGGTATTGCGCCTGAAGTGGTTTCCAGCACAACGCTGCTCATAACCCTAAACCCCTCGACGTGTTTACTCTCGCCAGATGGATTGACAGTAACAGCTTTAAATCCAGCTCCCTACCGCATAATACGGTTTGGAGAGAATTAGACCCGAAACTTTTCGAAACACAATAAAGTAACTATTATTTTACCTTTAACGAAAAAATTACTTGATAGTAAGATTAGGACAGGTTTACATACAATGTGCGAAGCGCAAATAAATACACCAATCGTCGCGTGGTTTTCGGGTAATACAGGTCGAAAACGAAAAATTCACTCTAAGAAAAAGGGAAAACCGAAAAGGGGAGAAAGAAAGTGGAACAGCAAGCCCAGCTTCAGTGAGGGGGTTCTTGAGCTCTTCATTTGATGAGGCGATTGAGAGCGTCGCGCCACGCTCTAACACGAACGCACAGGAGGAAAGCCAAGGGGAGGACAACTCCACAGGAGAGAAAACGTCGCTCGATGAGCTTGCTACCAATGATCCAATCGTTGCTTCTAGCATCTGACGACGTCCAGCTCATGTCTTTCCTTTTGTTTTTTTCCAACCACGAGCATGCCGTCATGGAGGACCCAACTTACGTTCTTTCGCATTCCTTTCATTTTTGTTCTACAGTTAATGCTTCGATTTTTTATTCATTTACTTTCCCTCCACTTACTTAAAGGAGCGACATGACAAAGGCAAGGAGTTCCCGGCGACGTATTGCCAACGGTGAGGCGTTTTTCTCCGCGGTTAGCGCGGAATTGTCAAACGCGTGCATCAACGTGCCGCAACCGCGACGACTGTCCCCTTCATTCGGACAAAGTCGCTCTCGCAAGTACACACCTTTTCCTGATTTCTTTACTTGTCTCTTTATGTGTCCAACACAGTTGTTTTTTTGGTGGACCCCTACCGTATGGGAGGTCCTCCGCCGGTATCCTGACGTCGTCCCTGTTCCTCACTGCGATGGGGCCTCACAAGGAAAAGAAAATGCAGTGAGGGGCGAACGCACAGGGACACGAGAAGATGGGATCGGCTGCTTAGACCCCAAGCCGGAGTGGATGTTCGAAAGAGACATTCTTCGGAGAGAGAGTGCCTAACAAGGCCAAGGACGTGCCTGAGCACTCCGAAAGAGTGGATGGGAGACATGTGAACCAACTTCCTACAGCATTCAAAGAATTTGTCTTACTTTTATTTTTTTGGTGCGATCATAGCCAGGGAATCGAAACAAAAGGGAAAATTGGAGCTACCCTCCGAGAATGCAATGACCGATCTCGAAACCGTCCGCCCAAAAAGTTGCAAGTGTCCAGACGCTCTCCATTTGCTGTGTCACAGCAACCGCAAATCCCCGATTTTCGCACGACCATGCCATTTACGAGGAACACAAGCGCAGTGAACCTGACCATTAATCTTTCCGCCGTCGAGACTCCGACTTCGAGTCGGAAATTGTCAAGAGGAGAAATGTCGGTCGGGCACGCGACAAAAAGGGGCATGACCCCACTGGTAGCGCATTGAGAGGCGGTCAACAAACGTTGTGAGACGTACGAACGGACGTGTATGAGGAATCTCAATCGTCTAATCCACCATCTATGGACGTCCATAGGGGGACAGTAATTTGCCGTTTCGGCGTAATACGAGCCGCATCGCCGGCAATCCTAAAACCGAATCGTCATCAGCGCAGCCAGCGGACATGCCGCTGCTATAATTAGGAAACATTGAGGTCTCCGACGATTGTTCGGAAGACGACCAAATTTTATCAAATTCGAACGTTTGTTTCACATCTGCCCCCAGGTTTGCCAACTTAGGTGGCAATTCAACAGTACGGAAGACGCCTCGATCGAGCCCAGAGGCGACGTCATTGATGTCTCATGACCGATCGTGTCACGAATAAGAGTCTGCGAACGTGAGGGGCGCTGTCAAGGGCTGGAAGGGAAAAGCCTAGATCGTCATAACTACAAAAAACGAATGACCCTGGTTTCTGTCCCCACCGGAATTTAATGGACAGAGCTTTCCTAGCGGATCGTCCGCCGCCAGTTCAGTATTTTCATGAACTGTACAGGCATGTAACGAGTCGCGTTTTACAAACGCCGAGCGAAGGAAGAGAAGGGCGAAAGGGAGAAGATGAAGAGGAGGAAATATTGACATGGAAAAAGAGAAGGAAAACTGTGAAAGGAAATGAGGAGGATGTTGAAAACAACAGATGGGCATGCAGGACACTTTATTTCAGAGTTCGTTACGACGCAGCTAATTAAGTGTCACCGATCGGTTCTTGGTATGGACAGGACGTGGGAAGTCCGATCGGAAAGGAGCGGAAAATGGAGGGTTCATTGAGTTGGACCCAGAAGGAATTCACCCTCCGGAAGAGATGTGAGTAGTCGAGCGAGGATCGTGAGGTCCTCCAACGAAGCCTCTTTGATGGCTTCCGTCGCTACGCCATGAGCCCGCAGGAGGGAAGCGTACGACTCAGAAGTTAGGCAATCCCGTTGGGAATTTTTGGGTGAAGGAGAAGTCGCCTCACGCGACGCGGGTTTGAGGTCACGTTTTGGGGAGAGGAGAAGAGGGGTTAATTCCCCTCCGCTTTTGGGAAGTGCACGAACGGACAGGCTCTCAGTGACCTCTGGCCGTGGAGATCTGATCTCCAGCGCGGGCGCCGGGGCGAGAGCGCGTGCAGGGAGAGATGGCGGAGGATGGACAAGCTGGGACCTCAAGCGGATTGACGGCACAGCTGGTGAGACCGGCTGCACGATGGAGGTTGAAGGAGCCGCGGGTGCTACAGAAGACGTAGCGGGAGTGACGCGAGGACGCAGAGACGAAGGTGGTGATGGCCTTGTGCAGATATTGGAGACTCGGGGGTCTGTAGGTATAACCAGTTCGGTGACGGGGAGGGGAATTTGATTCCCAAATCGGCGGCTCAGCTGAGCCTCCGCCGCCGAAAACAGGGACCCTGACCACGGGTTGAACCAGGCAAAGTCGCCTGCTGCACAGTGAGCCTGTCCGGGGGAGAATGATGGGTGTTGGTGCGTGAAGGAGCGGGAAGAATTTTGACACGGAATCGCGTCCCAGCTCACGCTCTCTATTTTTTCGAGCAGCGAATGGACTTCGCTATCAACATCCGCACCGCCCAGAGGGACTGTGAAATCGAGCAATCCCATGAGTTCGATGAGTTTGAGAGGCAGAAACCAAAGACGCCAGCATTCATAGGTTTCCCAGAGTAATGTCGCTGCCACTTTAACACACCATTCGGTGAGGAATACGACCCAAAGCCCGTGCCGCGGATCGGAAAGATACCTCCCGTAATAAGCGAGCACAGGACCAAGCTCTGCCCAAAAACCCTGACACACTTCGAACTGTCCCCACCAGGAAGGGATTTTTTGATAACGATTTGTGTAATGGTCTCGCGCAATTTCTCGCGCCTCTAGCATGTGGTATGCTACGAAGTAGCCGGTGTCCGAACGGAGACGACGCTCCGCTCGTACAGTATGTTGGAAGAAGGGAAGGTTCTCACGTTTGAGATGACGGAAATTTTCCGGAATGATGGCTCGCGTCCAGAACATGGCTTCGTTGGTGGCAGTCCGTTGGTTATACCAAAGGCGATTTGCGTCTCTTACGGGATCCCTGGCGGTCCAGTTGATCATGCTGTCTAAGTAAGATCGCTCTCCTTCCGTACGGTACTGCCAGGTGTCACAAAAATAACTTGCAGGTATGAGACCGTCGGTCAGTGGTAATTCGAGGCGATCGCAGACAGCAGATATAAACCGCGCGGAGAGTGTATGAAAGCCGTGAGGGGAGGAGCCGCGCAAAATAGAAGGAGGAACCGCAATGCCGGCTCGCCAATCGTAGGAATGGATGCCCACAAGGGGAAGGTGACCGGGTAATATACCAGCGCCGTTAGCAAATTTATTTTCGATATTAACGCTGTCGAGAACGCCAAGATCGCAGAACCAAGGAGCAGCCGCCAACAAGAGGGGATGAGCACGCATGGATTTGTCGTGTAGTTCTGCGAGGGAGGCGTAGCGACGAGGAGAAGGATTAATTTGGGGAGTGGGTTGGAATATCGGTTGGGAAGGGGGATCAGAAGGGGGAAGTCGAGGAATGGAAGGAAACCACGGAAATCTCGAGGTTGGGAAGGGTGGCCAACTCCAAGGCGCTTGCGGATAACATTCTAGCCCGCGCGCCTCGGCCACACAGAAGGTGTGGAGTTCGTATTGTCTTTGCCCATGGTGACCGTCGGTCAGGAGAAACCTGAAAAAGAGTCGAGATGGAAAATGCAGCTGGAGATCAAGGAGCGAAGCAGATGTGCAAGGACGCTCAGGAGGGGATATGTAGTGCAATAATGGGTTGCGCAAGGGGGTGAAGGGAAAAGAAGCTAAGTTGGAATGTGAATACTGTAGTCCGGGATTGGGGGACACACGTGTGAATATTTGCACAGTTTTTATTTTAATTATTAATTTATTTAGTTAATTAGTCAGTATTAATTTTGCTTACATTAGATTAGATCTAGGATCTAGCGCCTCGAGCTACTGTAGTGGGTCCGGCGGAGCGATATATACCTTAGCCCTCTGACCACCAAGTCAGTAAAGGTAACCCGAGTTGTCAGAGTTGAATATCGCCTTGGTCGAAGTCGGTCTTTCCCAAGACGCTCCCTTTTACCACAGATTACGTTATCCTTTGCGCTCGCGGGTTGCCTGTCCTTTTCCTTTATTTCACCTATCCCTTTCTATTTATATCTCTATTTCTATTCCCTTATCTTGTGTCGGTTCCACAGTGCCTGATTTCGATCCGCATTGTGACGACTGGAGTCATCGGGCTGTTGTGTTGGTTCTTTTGTTAGTTGTTGGTGCCATCGGCTTTGGTTGCGACCGGACCGGTGTAGGTGTCTTAGCCATCGGGCGACACGTGGGTGTAGCGCTGCTACTTGTTTACGTCCATTGAAGGAGGCTGTGGTGACGACGTCTCCCTCGAAGGTCCTGTTGTGTACACAGGACAGTGTTGGTTCTATCGGATACAGGTTGCGACCGTTCCGGTGTCGGTACTTTGCCATCGGGCAGTACGGAAGTGTACCGCTGCTACGTGTTTGCTAATTCCCGTCGGGCTGCGTTGTGACGCCCCTTCGAAGACCTTATCAAGGGTATAAGGTGTATCAGGCGCTCAGCGAGCATTGGCTTTACGACCCATCGGGCCCGGCTTTGTAATCACCGCCCCGAATTCGCCGAGCAGCTGCCTGTACAAGACTCTACCACCATTCGTCCCGGGGCGGGCCTCTTCCTTTTGCCCCCCCCCCTTATCAGGTACTTGAGCTACTGTGGGCCGCAAACCCACTTAAAGGGAAAGGGAGAATCGGACACTCCGTAGGGCTGTGCGGTCGGCAACTCTTGTTGGTTGTTGTTGGTTGGTTGTGTTGTTGCTGGACCGTTGGACCCTGGTTCCGGCCTGACAGGCACATTGCACTACAATGGGACAACTCGGAGCCGGTCACCATAGCTAATACATCTAACGGTCGGTGCGTGAGGGAAAGTCGCAGGGAGGAGAGATATAGAAAGGGAAAGTAGGTCAGGGAACAGGATACTCGGATACACGAGGGTATCGACTGCTTCTAGGTCGGGAGACCAAAATGTCGTGCACTACAGCCACGTGTGGCGGGCTCTAGGCAGAGCGACGCGCGTTCGGACGCGTAAAGGGATGACTGGAGACCACCCGGTGGATGACCGGAACCGCGATCCGGGCACGGCTTGCGCGGTAGAATGGTAGAAGTAGAGTCAGCGATAAAGAGGAAGAATTAAAAGAAAAGCAGAGCTAACGGAGCGTACAGCACAGTAGTTAACGTAGGGCTCGCGCGGGTGGGTCGACGCGCGCGGGGAAGGCAGTTGGGATTCTACGGGTGTAGATGGCTCGGTCGGTAGGGGCGAGACAGTACCGAGTCGAGGCTACAACCTAGAATGCATAAACCAGGGTAAAAGACCCGAGGCTGTGTGCCTCTTTACTTTGATTATCGGGTTGACTATATAGTCCTCGTCGCCGTATTGGCGAAGCTAAATTACACTATAAATTAGAGTAACTAGAATATACGGGTGTAGCCCCGAGGTGTGGCAGCGGTATTACACGTGTCCACCGGTGGTGGGGATCTGGCCTAGGGACCGGGGAAGTCTACGTGTAGCCATGGTACACGTGGTGGTGGTCCAGCGCGATTTTGGCTGGTAGGGACAGCTTTCCCGCTATAGTGTACAGTGCACTACAGCTGTGACACTTGATATTCGCTCATAGGGTGTGCGAGTTCAGTCTTCGTCGCGTTTTTGCGCTCATTGCCAACTGTGGTCTGTTTGGAGCACGCATTTTGAGATACGGTGACGTTCTCCTCGTCGCGTGTGATATCCAAACATTTGCATTCTACATGGGGCTCTGGGATTCTCGTGATTGGGGCGTTTTTGCGATCTTGGCCTCCTCTTCGCTTTAGGACTACTGTATAATTTTTTGGGCATCGTTTGTGCCCAGTCGGCTAATTTCGTTGCGCTATACAAGAGTGAAGAGTGTTGCATGGAATGTGTGTGGTCCAGAATGTTTTCCCGTAGCCGAGGGACGAATGGTTTGTCCCAGTATTTACCAAACTCGACATCTCTGTAGATCTGGAGGGTGGCTTTGCAAATGTGGTCTGATTTGCCTGGAATTATTCCAGACAAATCTGTATTGCGCTGTACTCGGCACCGGGACAGCTGTCCTAATCCCGCCAAAATCGCGCTCGCCACCGCCACGTGTACCACGGGTACACGTGGACTCCCTGCCGCGCGACCGGACCTCCCCGTGGACACGTGTAATCCCTCCGCAACCCATAGGGCCAATGGGGGCTGTTCTTGGTCCCCTCGGGGCTATACCCGTTATTTCCTAGTTATTCTAATTTACAGTATAATTTAGCTTCGCCATTACGGCGACGGGGGACTATATAGTCAACCCGATATTCAAAGTAAAGAGGCACGAAGCCTCGGGTCTTTTACCATGGTTTCTGGATTCCAGGTTGTAGCCTCGACTCGGTACTGGCTCGCCCATACCGACCGAGCCATCTACACCCCTGGAATCCCAACTGCCTTCCCCGCGCGCGTCGATCCCCCCGCGCGAGACCTACGTTAACTACGGTGCTGTCCGTCCTGCTAGCTCTGTTTTTCTCTTAATTCCACCCCCTTTTATTGCTGACTACCTTGCTACTTTTCTACCGCGCAAGCCGCAGCCGGATCCCGGGTCCGGTCATTCACCGGGTGGTCTCCCGAAATTCCTTACGCGTCCGAACGCGCGTCGCTCTGCCTGCAGCCGCCACACGTAGCTGTACTGCATGACATTCTGGTCTCCCGACCTAGAAACAGTCGATACTCTCGTGCATCCGAGTGTCCTCTTTCTTCCCTGACCTACTTCCCTCTCTGTCTATCTGCCCTCACGCACCGACCGTAGGTGTATTCTTCATGGTGACAGGCTCCGAGTCGTCCCATGACACTCGTCCGAGAGACGTCCCAGCGCCCATCGCGGCGTGGATCACGCGGAACCGCTGCGAAGGCCTCCGTGAAGCCAAGAGGTTCTCTCTCAACTTAATCGAGGAGAAACTCAACTCGCACACCGCCAAGATACGCGAGATGTTGGACAGCCTTGTTGCTGGTAAGATCGCCGCTCAGGCGGAGGTACAGTCCCAACAGGGACGTGATCGCCTCGCCGCACTAGAAGGCGTTCTCACGCGAGCGTGGCAGAAGGACATCGGGTCCACTGTCGACAAGACGCTCCTTCCTCTATGGGAGGAAGTAGATCGCCTGACGCAGGAAGTCAACGACCTCCGTCGGCGTAACCCCGCCTTGGAATCGGCGCAAACACGACCCGTCCCCGCTAGGCAAGACGAGTCGACCGTGTCGAAGCCAAGATCTAACCCGCAGTTACATGCGTTACAACCGTTGGACGAAAATCTACTGTTTCCCGACGTCACCAAATCGGCCCTCACGGCCGCCGGGATTCCGCTCCCCGATCCCCTGACGATAAAGGGACAACGGGACCCTATCCCAGACCTAGCGACCGCCCGAGGCCCGTCGCCAAGATCGTCCCGTGACAAGAAGGTCAAGACCAAAGGCCACCGTCACAAGTCCGGCCACGGAAGCCGACCTGGACCGGAGGATTTCCCCGGTTACTCGGGTGGATCCCCGCCCTCAGCTTCAGAATCCGACTCCGATTCGGACTCCGAAGCCGAGGCATTCACGGTACCACAACCGACCTTCGGCCCTAAGCCGAAGGGTGTCACGGTGTGGAAACCGACCAACCACCGCTTCCGAGGCCCGTGTAATTATCGAGCTTACCGTCTCGTGAATACCGACCCCACCGTCGATGCAAAGGTATACGCCATGACGCGTAAGCGCGTGCAATATCTCCTCGTCGTAATGGGAGAGTACAAGTTTAACGGGTCCGACCGGATCGAAGTCATCAGCTTTTTGGCTAGATGTAAGGAGAATTTCGACAACGCCGAAATGTCGGAGGCAATGGTTCTCATGGCCTTGCCGCATCTCCTCAACCCGCCGGTGAAGGAGGCGTATGAATCCCATCGAGGATATTTCCGACGAAATCAAGGGATTGCGTCGTGGCCAGCAGCAGTGAACTGGTTGCTTCGTACGTATGCTACGAATATTCAGATCGAGCAAGCGCTCTCTGCGGTCCGGGATTTACGCCAAAAACCCGGCGAAGTTGAGACCGAGTATGCGACTCGTATGTTAACCGCCCTCGCGCGGTGTGGGGACATCCATTCTCCCTATGAACGCACTACCTTGTTCATAGAGGGCCTCCTTCCGGCGATCAAGCCGTTGGCCGAAGCCCGCGCTCAAGGGGCGGCCTACCGCGCGCAGACTGCTGGCGGAAGAAGACGCATCGACTTCGCGAGACCCGCCGCCAAGCAAGTGTTGGCGATGACAGACAGTATGCCCTCATCGACAACCGCGGGTCTGACCCCGAGCTATCATACCGGCCTGGACGCCGAGAACTTCCTCGCCAATGACGAGCCTCTCGCCGCCGCAGCTGGGTCACCGTCCTTTCCCACCGAGGGATCCTCATTCAGCGACAAGGATTCGTTGTTCTACGGAGAGCGGCAGCCGACCTACAAGGACCCGCCCCGGTTTCCGAGACCGCGCGAGAAGTCTCCCGGTTGGGCCGGTCGAGAGGGAACCCGGGGCATGAAGACACCTTCCCCGCAAATCATCTGCTACACATGCTGCAAAGTCGGGGATCATATTAACCCCGACTGTAGCATGAAGGTGCGCGATGTGTCGCTCGTCTCTCATAATTTTGAGAAGCTCACGGTGGCACAGAAGGCCCGTGTTCCGGCAGACGCGTACTTGCGCGCTGTAGCCCTCCTCAGTCTCGAGGCTAATCGGCTGATCGCACCCGTCGTGCCGTCGAAGTCTCCCTCCGCTTCGGAGAAGTCAAGCCCCCTAGCGGTAAGACCGCACCTCCGAAAAACTAAGAGACCCACAGCTGAAAATCGCTGACATTCCATCGCTGGGCACCGCGTCACCCCGCCCCCGAAGCCGGCGATCCGCGTCTTGGGACGGAGACACGCTCGCCAAGCGAGCCCCTCCAACCCCGATCCGACGGGCATGGGGGCGCTCCGCCGACCGTGGCTTCTTAACAACGGGAGGCGCTCCCCCGATGACAAGGCCGTCGAGCCAGTTTGTACACTGTCTCGACGTAATTACAAGGTCTACGCCGACCTTGGGCTCACCACCTCCATCATGGTGCGTCAACTCATCATCCTGGACACGGGTGCCGGCTCCAAT